AATCATATTTCTATTTAAGTCTCTTATTTAAATATATATGAAATTTATAAAAATATAACATTTCCTTAACATAATAAAAACAAACTGTTATATTAATTTCTTTCAGAAAATTGGATGATGTATTTATACATTAAAAGGAAATAATATTACATTAAAAAATACATGTAAAAGACTAAAATGTCTTAGTTTTTGCCATGTCAAATCACCAGGAACAGGATATGGTAAAAATCAAGACATTTTAATCTTTTATACGTATTTTTTAAATTTGTCAGCCATTTTTTGAAATAATGTATTTTTTGGCTTGTCACCTGTGAACTTTTTAAACTGTTTTGCACATTTTTGCAGAGGTGTAACCTCTAATAAATGGTTGTCTCCACAATGGAACACTGTTGTTCCTGGTGATTTGACATGAAATCAGTCTTTTATATGTATTTTTTAATGTAATATTAATTATTTCCTTTTATATTTGAAAGCTATTTAAAAATAATAAAGGTTAGTTATATTCAAATGTGACATTCAAAATTTTAATTAAAATAAGTTTAGTTAATGTAATGCTTTAAATAGATATTAAAATAAAAAGTCAATTTTATCTTAAAATTTTTTAATGTATCAGTTAAATTTATTAAATTATGATTTTGATTTTAATAGTGTGTTAATTTGCAGAATATAGAAATTTATTTTTAAAACTGTATATTTATGCAAAATAAATAGAACAAAAATATAAACAAATTCAAGTTTAGTTATTAGTAATTTGTTCAGAATCTAAGCTATAAAAAAAGGATTTAATGTGAATACTGTACTTTATTCTGTATAATTTATTGTATGAAACCTGCTTTTATTAAAACAGCATGAAGAGCATTAGTAAACTACTGTAGTTTTTTTATTTTCTTTACAACTAAAAAATAGTATTTGTAAATACTTTTATCAGATGCTTACCTATAACTAAAAAAATGAAATTATTGGATTTAACTTCTAAGGTGTTTTCTTTAAAGACAAAATTCTAAGATTAGAATAAATTTTTATATTTAAATTTTTCTTGGTTATAAAATTTTGGATGAAAAATCTTATATCTAACAAAATATTTTGCTCTATTACAAATTTTGTGGTTCTAGTAAAGAATGGTCAAAACAAGTATTTCCATATAATAATCTAAACAACTTTTAAAACATTTGGATTTAAATTCTTTGAGTAAAGTTCTTTAGCCATTTCTCAATTAAATTAGCTAACCTATCAAATTATTAATTTTAATCATATGATTTTTACCATTTTAGTAACAAACTTCAAATTGATTTCCATAGTTAAAACATGCTCAGTAGAAAATTGGTAAACAGATTACAGTCAAAAAAGTTCAAAAAAATTCTTTAAATATACACAGTCATTGAGAGAAGTTGATACATCCTTTAAAAGATTGATGACTATTCATTTCCTCAGAAATCTAATAACAATGTTTGTTGAAACAATTTAGTCCCGACATTTTTTTCTTCTTTTGGAATAAATAGTTGTTTTATCATTGCATTCATCGTTAACTCTACTGCACACATTTATTTTAATTAATAACTTACAATTTCTAATTGGTAAAAAAAATCCAGGATGAAAAATATTAAAATTCACAAATTTAGAAGAAACAAACACAGTGCATTAATATCTCTTCTCATTCCAGACTCCTCAAGAACATATAAGTTCACACAACAAAGTTGACCTTTATATTGAGGTTCTGTTATGCAACTCTTATTCTAGAGGTGTGTGGAAGGAGCAAGGCTAAGGAGCTGTGGATTTTTCCCAGGCCCAGAAAAAACTTAGGGGAACAGTAGTAGTTTCTACTCCTTTAAAGTTAATGTTATTTTTACTAACAGAAAACAAAATCTTTAAGACTGCTTTTTACTAATAAACATTCTGTGTTACATTTGCTCAAAATAAAACACAGCAAAATGAGGATCTATCTCCTGCTCTACCCCAAGGCCTCTATACAAGCTCTTGACAGCAGTGGAAATGGGACAAAATATGAAGACATTATTTTATGTTTGAATGTTTCTTCTAAATTTGTAAATTTTAATAATTACAAATTATTACGTTATAAAGAAAAGATAAAAAATATATCAACAACACTATTGTTATTTACAGAATTTAAAATTTATTTAATACAAAAACTAGGTATATATATTTTGCTGCTTTTTTTATTATATTTAAATGTAACAAATATAATATTTAATATTATAACATAAAATCAGCATTGTATTTATATATAAATTTTAATCAATCGGTTCATATAAATATAAATTTATTAAATCATAAGTAAGTTCATTTTGAACTTACTTATGATTTAATAAATTTATATTTATATATTTTCACTTTCATTTTAAATTTACTAATATAATTTCAAAACATGCAAAATTATTCAAGTGAAACTTAATTAAATATAATTGGTTATAAAAACAATAGTGAATATGATAAAATGTATATATGTATGTGGTAGTGGTAGTTTTGTTTATACATACACAAATACAAGCACACAAGTTTATCATAATCAGTAGATGTTTTTGGTGTATACATAGAGTTGTCATCAAAAAATAAACAAAAGCTATCAGCTAAAAATTTAAACAACTTCTGAGAAATTAATCAATACTCTGATAACATATAACAACTAAATTTCTAACAAATTTGGAGAAAACTTACTGATTTCCTAAAGAACAATATTCAATACTTCAAATATATTATCAAATAGCTTTCTCTTTCCTAATCTTTAATTTGATAATATAAACTTACATTAGGTTAGTAATGAATTTTGTAAAGAATCAAAATTTTATACAAGCTAACAGATTAAAAGTTCATTTCAGAAAAATAATTGATATAATTAAATTCAATACCACCACTTGTATTACAAACATTTTGATTTTAATGAACAACTTTTAACTAGTAAAAAGTAACTAGTAAAAAGAAATTAAAATTTATACAATTCGACTAGTAAAAAGTACTTGATAATTTAGTTTATGTTAAATATTTTCCTTAATTTTAAATTAAAAATAGATATTAATGTAAATAAATTTAATTATAAATATATCTGCCATTTAAATTTTATTTGAAATTGTTTTCAAATTAACATGAATTCAATGTCAAATTTTTACACACATTACTTCTGGAGTCAGTTTTCATTTAAAATATTTAATAAAAAATGTAGTATATATTTAGATTTTACAACAAATTTAATAAATAGCTTTTTATTTTTATCATTTACCACTTAAAAACTTTAATTTGTAAGTGTTAAATATTAAAAATTTTAATTTTTAGCTTTTGTCTTTTTTTAATAAAAATTTTGTTACACACTATTCATAATGCACTTCTTTTTTTTTTTGCTTGCTTTTAACTAGACAGATCCTAGACCTAAAAGCCTACTTTTTTGTTTTGTTGTTATCTCACTATGACAAAACTGGAAAGACTACAAATTATAAAAAGCTTTTTCAACACTAATAAGACAGTATTTTCTTATTGTCAAAATAAATTCAACAAAACATCAATGATTTCAGTGGAGCAATTACCAATTTTTCTTTATTTGTAATTACATTCATTTTTCATTTGAAAGGCATAATTAAGAAAAAGCTATTATCCAAATAATTTTGTTAGATGTTCTTTTTCATTATATTAACTTTCAAAATTAATTCTGAAGTTCATTTTCATTTGTCATTATGTAAAGTTGACAAATCTTATAGAAAATCCACATCACATTAATTGAGAGACTTCTGCATTTTGTAATTATTCAAACCAAAATGTTTAAAAGTATACAAAAAACATTATTGAACATTAAAAAAAGTAATAATAAAACCAAAATATTTTATAAATAAAACAGGGATACTGTTTCATTAAACTCAAATGATTTTATTTATACTGTTTGTTTATCAATGAAAAAAATTATTAAAATAAGATTGACAACATACTTTTGTTCATCATAAGTATTACAAAAAAAACCTTATACTTGTCATAAAAACATTTATATATCTATTTAATATTGGGAAATTATTTATTTGGAGAGTCTCACACAGAATTTTTATCAGATTACAATTTTGCAATACAGTATTTCTATCATTATCCACGATTCGAAACAGATAAAAAATAACCAATTAGAATTTATTTTACTTTCAGTTCACAATTGCTTATAAGTTACCTCTTGACTAATTCTCTTATGTAAGAAACACAGAAATTCAATGCATTAAATCTAACTCAAAATACCAGATATTAATCTAGAATCACCAAAGAAAAACTAGTAAAATATATAAGAACTTAACGAATAAACAAATATTTTTAATTAGCTTTAAGCCATCGTCCTCAGGTTAAGAACAGCATTTGAAAAAAATAAAAATTCAAACATCAATTTGGCAATAATAATTATAAATTACAGTACTAATAAATTTGGCCCTAGAGGGAGGCATTAGGTGCCAAATTTATTAGTAATTTATAATTATTATTGCCAAATTATAGCCCAATAGTTTACTGCAGTTGAAGGTGTTATTGCAACATACCAGTTTAGTAAAGTTGTTTATATTGAACATCAATTTTTAAATAACAGCAAGACATGAGCATAGTGACGAAGACAGCTCGAAAACACCTACTCATTAAATTTTTTGTGTATTTTACCAGAGTTTTCGTTTCTTTGGCATTTCCAGAAACTAAACATATACTTCCAAAATCCCATAAACTTTTAATAAATATTTTCATCTAAGATCTATTTCATTACATTTCTGCATATTTGTGTACATAAACACAGCAAGTTTCTAGATATTTATACGCAATAAATATCTAGAAATTTAAAGACCATTTCCTAATATTGTTATGAATTTTACTGTTATATCAAATTAACATTCCTCGGATATTTTATGAAGAGTGTAATTTAAATGTACAAATCATAGGCTTAAATGATTATAAAATATATACCACTGATTTTATATAATTTAAAGAAAATTTCTTCTTAAATAGTGTAAAATAGAAGGATTTAATACAAATAAACTTACCTTTCGACATGAATTTCTTTTTTTTTTAACGTAGAAACATTTTCAGGTTTTGAAATCTGGAGAATCGAGTCACGAGCTCCTTTAATGCGTATCGACCTTCTCTTTCGATTAACCGATTTATATAAATATTTTATAGATATAACGGGTATCGAATCATGTTAACGAGAAGAAAAAAAATAAAAAATTAATCGACCGTTAACTTCTTTTTCCGACATCGGTTTACAATTATCGTCTGCGACTCGGTTGTAGTTATCGCTTCAACTGCCAGATGGCGAACAGAGTTGCGAAGGCGTTGCTATAGCGACGAAGGCGTTTTAACAATTTCGTAAAAATACGCATGCGCTCTTTCTATTAAATTGCGTATCAATTCTCCACCTATAATTTTATTTAAATATATATATATTTTAATTAAATATATATTTAATAATTTNTTTTTATACGTGAAAAAATAATTAAGTTCGAATTGATAAGTATTAAAAGAAATAAATTTTAAATTTTTTTTAAATTGATGACGTATTTTAAATTTTTAAAATGCCATAAGAGGATTAGATGAATTATTTGGAGAATAATTCTTAAAAAAATCATGAGAATGATTTATATTATATATAATACTTCCTTTTCATATAGAGAAAATCGTATAATTTTAACAATTATCAACGGCAGGTTGGTAAATTATTCGACATTGGATGCGCTCGACTGCATTATTAACAACCCACACAAAGTCAACGGTTACATTCTTAAAAAAACCAAAAATAAAAAACAAAATGTATATATAAAGCTTCACACCGATGTTAATCTAACACACAAATACGAATGATATGAATTATCTTTAATATATATATATACTGTATAAAGGATAATTTGATAATAAAATATAATATTTTGAAATTTAAACCATAAAATTATTTAAAAAAGAAAAACGAATGGCAAAACTTGCTTTCACCCACTTAAATAACTCCAAGTTCGTAGCCTTCAAGTCTTTATGCAAGTTTCAATACCGTAATTTAATTCTATCAAATTCAAAATGTTAAAAAGCTTTTTTAAAACCTTCGTCGATTAGAAATTATTTAATTAAAATTTTATAATTAGCTTCTTGCATGAATATTATTAATCATCAAACTATAATTCATCCATAAAAAATAAACGTTATTAGTTTTGCATATTAAAAATGAACGTGTTAATTATTTCCTCTTTGCAAAATGGATCTTCTAAGAAAATAACTAATTGCTAGTTTTAACACGGAAATAATTATATTTATATATTAATAATATTATTAAAATACTGTACATATTTTTTACATCAAATATTTAATTTATATCATCGAAGAATCAGATTCGAACCTTATCTGTTTTTTCAATAGCTTTTTATGTCTTATTTGAGGGGCCTTTTTTATGTTTAATGACTTGTCCCGATGTCGAATGACCTCATAACAACTCAGGCCCATCCACAACAATTTAAATTTAAGTCGCTGATAGCGATATTGTCCTTCAGAAGATACGGAAAATCTTTTACAATTCGATATGTTTTAGATTTATTAATGGCATTGTCCATATAGGGAAGTATTATACTTTATATATTGACTTTGTACATCCTATATAACAGATTTTATTCGTAGCCGCCCATAAAGTTGGACAATGAACTCTTCAGTAACAATTAGTAAACAATATAAGGTTAGAATCCAAGTAGCTTGACTATTGATATTTAATTGCACTGGAAAACTTATCGGTAGAGCTAATTGAATTCTGAAATTAGGTTAAGGGATGCAAAAAATCGTGTCAAAATATTTCACATTATTTTTTAAAAATATTTAAAGAATGGTTGTTTAGTAATTAACTTTTTATTTATTTATTTTAATCACAATACTTTCTACATTTTAGATAATTTAGAGTATTTTTTTAATTTAAATATTAGAAAACTTCATTAAAGTTAGATGAATTTTTTAAATTAGCTCGACTTCTTATATCAATAAACGAGTGGGCTTTTATGTACGGGAGCGATATTCCAGTTTGTGCTATCCTAAGAGGTCACTCTCCTGAAGGAAAGTCAAATAAAATAAAATAATAAATAAATTTGTAGGTTTATAATCGATTATATTAACTCAATTATTCGTGAGTTCCTCCCTAATATCGCATTTTGCAATTTGAAATTACATAATACTATTGAATTACAATTGATCTTAGACCAATTAAACTTCTAAATTATTAAAATTATAATGATTCTTTTCTAATTTGATTATTAAATAGTAAAGAATTCTTTTCTCAGACGTTTGACTGAATACATTACTAATTATGTAAATAGAACAGGAAATAACAAAACGAGACCTTGCAAACCACGTTTTAATACGACAGAGTAGAGGATTTCCGTTCTCAGCTTATGTTCTTCAGTTCTGTTATGATTTGTACTTATTTTGTAAATTGACCTTAACACATTTTATTTAGTAAGAATAATTTCTTAATAAAATTATTGCAAATTAAACTTTGGTCTATAATTTTGCCATATTTGAGATATTTATACATTGATACATTCTGTATAAGATAAGATATTATCAGACAATATAAAATCTTTATTAAAAATCTTAAATTTACTTTAAATGACATAAAAATAATCTAAAATTATATTTAAATTTTAAAAATACTGTAGTACAGTAGTAATACACTAGTACTATATAAATAGGTCATATATTAAACAAAAGATGGCGATATGAAATTATTAGTTTACTATTTCGTTGATTTTTTAAAAATTCTTCACATTTTTTTTTTCCAGAAATTTTGTAAATTTGTTGTCATTATTTTAAAATAATTACTGTACTTAGTTATTTCATTTTCTTTTTATTAATTACGCTTTGTTTATTTTTTTTTATCCTTTAATTGAAATATTGGTTAGTCTTTCATTAACTAATTAGTTTAGTTTCTAAAATGTTTAATAATACCTATTATGTGTTATGATAACTGTATTTTTAATACACCAATCTTAATATTTATAATATAATTAATAAAAATATATTTTTACATAAAATACTTGCAAACAGATGGCAGCATCTACGTCTTTATTGAATGAGTATTGTATACCAATTAATATCACGAAATAACAAGAAGCATCTTGTCAGGGGCTATCCATAATTTACATCCGCATTTTTCTTGAAACTTTTACTCTCCCTCTCCCCTTGTCTTAATTTGTCCAAGTTTTCATAATAAAATATAGTTTCTGTAATAACTCAGGATATGATTCTTCATAATTGAAGTTTTCGACTATTTACAAAAATATCAAATTTTTGAGTATATCTCAATCCTTTTTTATACAACACCAAAAGTAACAGTTAACATGGTTTTCTTATTAAAGAATAACTTCTTAAAAAAACAAAGGTAAACAAGTAAAAAGAGAGATCACAATGTTAAAAACGATCAAGAAGATGGTGAGAAGAATTCTTCATGTTTTTAATGTAAAGTGTCAGAACCTACAACAGAAGGCTGACACTTGATCGTTTTTAAAATTGTGATCTCTCTTTTTACTTGTTTACCTTTGTTTTTTAAGAAGTTATTCTTCAATAAAAAACCATGTTAACTGTTACTTCTAGTGTTGTATAAAAAAGGATTGAGATAGACTCGAAAATTTGATATTTTTGTAAATAGTCGAAAACTTCAATTATAATAAAATATAATTATTAGTTTTAAATAATAAATTTAATTTAAAATCAGAACCAGATCCTTTCGTTTTGAATTAATTTTCTCATATGAATATGCAGAAGAATGGATGGCCGAGCGGTTTATGTAACAGCCTACCACTCTGGATCCGGCCGTCTCATTATGAATATTAATTGGCTTGCTAAAAAAAAAAAAAAAAGGCCTTCTTAGGCCGAGCGGTTTTCGTATCCTGAACACTGGGAAGTTCGGTCGTGGGTTCGCGCCGTGATCGGACAGGCTGGCTGCTTGGAGTTTTCCGGGTTTTCTCCTTGCCAATAACGACTAAATAGGAGGCCAGTTCCCCATAAAAATCCTCCCGGAAGGCATTCCTTTCCCGCGCGCGCGTTTAGGCCGTTCGGATACGGCTGGCTCGTCGGTCGCATAGAGATCAATAACATCATTCGGAGAAAGAGCCTAAATAGTGCTATACTCTCCATATAAACTGAGAAGAAGAACAAGTGTCAAATTTCACAGAAAGACGAGACAAAGGAAAATAAAACTTGAAGCTTTTTCTTCAAAATTAACGCATTTCTTTCGTTTTTTTCAGTTTTAAGTATTTTTTTATGTTTAATTACATTAATTAATATCAAAAATTGCTCGAGGCTTAAGGAGTTAAATCAGTGTATATAATTCTCTCTAGCAGTAATTCTGCGATCGAGTGGATAAAACCACTGAACACTGATAGTTAGTTGGTCGTGGGTTTGCCCCTCGCCAACGGGCTGGCCACATAAAGTTTTCTGGGTTTCCTTCATGTTCGTAACACCTAAATAGGGGCCAGTTTCTCATGAAAAGTCCTACCGGAAAGTACTCCTCCTTGGAAGATCGTCCATGTGTTGCGTTGCCATAACCAAATAAACCAAACCGATTCGAAACTCTTTGGAACATTTACATACTGTAATATAAACATCCCGAATTGGTTATACATTTTGCAAATTTTCAAATCTAGTGGGCTTCACAAGTTTACATCCAGGTGCATGTAAGACTTTAGCTGTCCTATACATAATTCCTTTACGAAAATGATCAATTTTGATGCCATTTTGGTAAATTAATTTTAAAATATTATTATTATGCCGCCACTTTGGAAATTAAACCAGAAATCAGATAAATACGTCCTTTGCAATTTTTGCGTCATTTAATAAAAATAATCTCTGCTAATAATAATCGAATTTTTCATATTATTGAATAATAATAATTCGTTAGTTTTGTTGTGTGTGTTATTGTTCAATATGTTGGAATAACGGCCGTTATTTTTACACACGCGGTTCGATACCTAGGTAAGAACGGTGTTTTTTTCTTAACCGTTTCTTGGCTTCCAAATAATCAATCCTTTGTTTTGTCTTCAGGATGCCAAGTACTTTGACAAGTGGCTTGAAATTATTAGACATTTATTAGACATAAATATAGGCTCAAATGTTTTTTTATTGCGTTTCGTTCCTTGAAATATTTCATCAATATCGAATTCGTTTCAGATGAACAGCTTATCTCGTCCTCAGTATACAGTCGACCTCCTATAACACTGTTGATTTTGTTTTATATGAATTCCATGTTGTATGAGTCACTTAGATTTTACAAATACGTGAGCCGTTCACAGCCCGACACACGTATTTGTAAAATCTAAGTGACTCGTACAACATGGAATTCATATAAAACGGAATAATCAACAGTGTTATAGGGGAGTCGACTGTACACCAAACCACGAAGAAGCTCTGTATCCACCAAGAAGTTAAGATATGATGAGTTACAGAGGACATCAAAATCCTAGGTGGAACCAAACGGAAATTTTCAGGCCTCAAAATGAATTCCGTGAAAGTGATGCAAGTACTGTACCTTTATGTGATTAGAGCTAATAAGCAATTTTTGTAATTTATTACGTGGCAAACAAGCAACAATTAGCATAAATAACCCATTTGAAACACAAATCATAATTTAAATGTCATCAGTTGGAGAAATTTCAAGATAGATTATGTTATTTTCTTCATCTATACTAATATTATAAAGAGGTAATGTTTGTAAGTTTGTATGTAGGGGTAATCTCCGAAACTACTCATCCGATTTCAAAAATTCTTTCACCAATGTTTAGAATGGAACTTCAGGGTGGACATAGGCTGTATATTATTCCGTTAAACATTCATATAAATTAGAATATATCATCTAGGGTTAAGGTTTTTATGTCCAACAGATGGCGCTACGAGTACGACGATCTAAGTTTGCTTTTCTGTGAGGCATTATGCTTTTCTGTGAGGATGAACTAAAGCAGATCATCTTCTATCTATTTATATAAATAAAATTGTAATGTTCGTTTGTTCCTACTGATTCCTTTGAAATTTTGACACA